TTATTGTGATTACCTTTACCTTTATCAGATTATATGAAAAGGGAAATTAAATCTTAAGACTAATCTTAAATACGACAAATACAACAACTCATTGATAATTTTTCGCAATCAATTGCACCTTTACCTTTAATCTTTGTACCTTTTACCTTTTACCACTTGGAACAACTTTTTTTTTCTTTTCCATCTTTTGTCCTCTTATATATAGTTTTGCAAGAGGAAATCACTATTACTATTATTATCATTATCAACATAATCATAATCATTGTTGGGATAAAGGTAAAGTCACCTGAGGGTGGGGTAATTGAGGGAAAAGGAGGCAAACAAACAGCTCCAAATAACAATGGACACTTGAAATAATCATAATTGTAAAGGTGACATAAGCACACATACACTCACACATAGGCAGACACAATTGACTGTTGAAAAGTCAACTGTCCACAGGTAACATTCATTCAATAGTATTTGTAGTATTATTTTACTATTTGCCACCTTTAAGATTATTATTTGGACACTTCGATAGTGATAGAGTATCGATTTTGATAAGGATACAATGTAAATCTTTCCTGGTGTTGGATTTTCATAGATACCTTTACATTTTTGCTTCTTCCTATCAACAATTTACCATTTATTTTGTTGATAGATCGCTCCCAATGTGACATAGTCTCCAACAAGATTTCATTCATCTCCTTGTTTCTTAATGTTCATCTTTTCAACCAAATTAATTTATCAAGAAATACACAAAGAACCTGATTAGTTCCTGATGCTATTTACTAGTTGATCCCTTGACAATTGAGTGACTAAAAGAAGGAAGAAAAAATAACATTAGTTATGAAAATACGAAAAAAAGAACTCATTGTTTGGAAAAGATGACCAGTAATGACCATGATAAGCCTATTTAAAAGTCACTTGGATATTTTGACTCTTTTTCACTGTTCCTTTACCTCTGACAATCATGATGATGATAAAAGCTTGATGATAACTGATGATTATGGTGATGCTTTTTGCCCATGAAATTGCATTTGTAAGATATAAGAGATAATAGGTAAGAGAAAAAAAAGAAATTCTAAAAGTCAACATAGATGAATTCTCTCTCTCTCGAGGCTATGTCCAAGTTGAACTGGACAATTAGCACGAAAAAAAAATAACAATAAGGACGAACCATCAATTCATCATGATTGTTGTGACTGGTTAACTGATAGTAAACAAATGATAACAACAATAGGAGGAAATCAACAAATCATAATGAATGAAAATATAAAAAAAAAGAGGTAGATTTATGTCTAATTAGTTGATGATGAAAACAATGAAAACCACACACATACAAACAATTTCATTATATTAACATTGTTTACTAATTATCGACAATTGTAATGAATAGATGACGATGATGATTATTATCATTAGTAGATCATCATCATCACCATAAATGTCATTCATCTTTGCGGTTTCTTACCTTACATGATACAAGAGGAAGGAAAGATAAACCCTAACAATTTGAAGCGATCCCAATAAAAGGTAATAAGTGAATGAAAAATTAGAGAAACAATTTACCTGTTCACCTTGAACCCTTTCCTTTTCTCTTTGTTTCTCTCATTTTACCTGGAAGAAAATGAAAGAACAAAAATTTCTCTCTCATATTCGTTGAAAAGAACAAAATTTATTGCTCATCCCAAGAGCATCTTAAAGTGTATTCACATCTCTTTGTTTCCTTTTCCCTGATTTACAGGAGAAAAGGAAGACGAAGTAAAAAAGATGAGAGAGAGAGAGAGAAAATGATGAAAGGTGAATGAGAATAGAACAAAAAAAAACAACATCATTGAGAGAGAAAACCAAGTGACATTTTCTTTGTAACTTCGAAAAGAAATTTCAAAAAGTTGCGACTAAAGAAACAGAGAGAAAAAAAAGAAAATGATGCCGATCTTATATTCCAATATTACGATTAACTAATCGTCCGATTTTCGTCGAAAAGGATTAACATTAATCCTCCAAAAGTCCATTAAAAGAAAATTTCAACTTCAAGTATCATCATGAATAATTTGATTCTAATTTGATAATGGACTGAAATTATAATAATAATATGCAAATTAGATATCAACATTTTCCTTGGCAAATGTTTTCACTCCCAATGAAAATTATTTTAATAGTAGTTTTTTTCATCATCATATGATTCAAATGTAATATTAATCTGAATATGAATGAATAATGTGACATTCAAGTTAAAGGTACTTCTGAAAACTCATTGTGATCATTAACCATGCAAAATCATTGACTAACCATGAACATAGTTAATCTTGATTGTTAAATTATCAAAGGAAAATCAAACTGATTGTTGTTATTATATTTACTCGGGCAACCATAGTTAATGGACTTTTCATCAAATTCAGATAATCTATTGGACATGTTAATATGTATTAATAATGATCATCAATTCAATGAGATTACAATTCATTGTTCAATTATGTTTTTTTTTTGTTCGCCATCATTATTAACTTGATTAGCTGTAGATTAACTGAATCAAATAATTTGCTATGGTTAATCAACTGTTTCCCATTGTGCTAATGAATTAAATAATGATAATGATAACTTTGTAAATTATTTATACACATTATCAATTCTGTATATTTACTGATGATAATTATTTTTACCGTTATTAAATATTTGCAGTTAATTGTTGACACCTTTAAATTGTTACTTTTGGGTTTCCATTGAGATTCTCAATTCATTTGAATTCAGTTCAATCAGAGATTTTATTATATCTTATTATCATGGAGATTGAACTTTTCTTTGCTTTTTTCACCAAATGCTCAGTGAAATTGAAATGATGCTCAAGTAAAACGTTAGTTTTATCATATTAAATAATGAAATGATACAGTTATCATCTAAATGACCATGGTTATTGTTCATTGCGACATAAATGGTTATTACTATTATCAACTATCATCCTCATCTTTTCATCTTAATATCACCATGGAAAAATGGGAACAATGAACTGAATGAAAAGACCAGAAAAACCAGGAAAAAAAAGACTCAAAAGAAAATAATAATAATAATAGTTGTAGGAGAAAAAGGACAAATTTGATATTCTTTCAAGCATATATATATAGAATCACATAGAAAAATGATAAAGATGATGATAAGAAAGGATGAAGAAAAAGGATACGGAAATGATAACGGAACTATTAATAACAGAAGACATTTTTTTCTACTTCTTCTTTTCTCATCATTTTGAAACTCTTTTTTTTTCTTACACATTAAGTTCCTATTGAATTAACAGCAAATTAACAATAAGATGAGACAAAATGATGATGATGATGATAACCCTATTGACCGAAGGCAATTTTTCTCTTACCACCCACTTTAAGTTTCTCTCTCACTCATTCCCTGTTACATTTTTTTTCACCACAAAATTCAGGGAGAAACTGGTTACTAATAATAATCAGATTCAATTATATTGGATTGATAATAATGATAATACACAAGAAAATGGAGAAAAATTCATTGATCCATAAATCACTTTACACTATTTCTACATCAACATGATGATATGATCCAACACTCACCCACCCCACCCTCAAATTATTGCTATTTCACTGTTTATTAACATTGCCACTGCTCCTCCTCTTCCTCCTCCTTCACCTCCTCCAACTAACTCACTTTCAAAGTGAACATGTTAGTTAAAGTGTATATTATGTATTAATAGAAACGAAAAGGAATCAACCATTGATTAATTATATCTTTTATTAAACCTAAATGGATTTAAGATAAAAGAAGCAAAAAAATCAACTAATCATCAACAATTTACTTGACCTATAACAAAAAATAAACGTATAGTTTTAACCATGAACAATATTAGGACATGCTCAAAGGATGAATCAATTGATTTCACCATCATCATGATCTTCATCTGATTCTGAGCATCATCATTAATTTCATTGTTTTTCATCATCAATTACATAACATAAGATGAATCTGGTAATTCATTAGTGTGAAATTATTACTATCAATTTAAGTCTCAAATGACATTAAATTTAATAATAATCATCATTTAACTTTAATCATTTGGTAACAATAAATGGTTGAAAATACAATTAGATAATATTATCAACCATCAGAACAACATTTCTTGTTTAGAAACTCATATAATCATCATTATCTTTCATTGATTTTACCATTTTTTTCCCTCTCATTGTTGATAATTAGCTAATCAATTGCAATGATTATTAATCTAATTATCGTTGCGGAAATTAATCTAGGATTTTCTGTCCATGGGTCAATAGGATTTTCAATCTCCAAGCAGATTAACGGATCATAATTACTATTTATTGTTTTGTTGTCAATGAAACAAAAGGTAACAAACATTAAGGTTCATTCAAAACTGACCATCAGCTAATTACTTTATTGCTTTGTGGTCAGTTCACCTTATCCTCTCTCTCTCTCTTTATCCATTAACATAAGAAATTTTTCCTTATTGGTGTTAACATATTTATGATTAATTATCATATCATAAAAATATTTAAATCACTTAACTGACCAGTTCGGAAGAGGTAAAAATGTTGACCAGTTCATTTTTAACAAATCAACTCTGATTATTTGATAATTAATATCACAATATTATATAATATAATGAATTTGATTATATTGCCAATAATTAACTTGTTAATATTGACTAGAGTTTACTAACTAATCCTGATTTATTGATTTTATTTCTTGATTTAGTTATCAAAATGTAAAAGATGATAAATTACATGGTCAATTTTTTTTGGTTAATTTTCACTCTCAACTTGATATTAACTTTAATTACCATCATCATCATCATCATGATTAATTGTTATCAATGATTTAATTTACCTTTAAAATCATTTATCTTTTTATAATCTTTTTAAATGAAACAAATTGATTAAACTAATTAAATTGTAAATTGATTGAATCACTGATGATGATGATAATTATCAAATTAAAGTAACACCTTAAACCTGAATCAAGTTAATTATAGTTTATAATTAATTTGCTAAATTATTTCTCAATTGAACATAATGATTACCATTAGTTAAAATTTCCTTGGAAGCGAGAAAATCAGAAAGATTAATTGCTTAATAGATTTGGAAAAAAAAGTTCGAAAGCTCGAATATTCAAAAAGTGGACTAAAATGCTGAACATAAGTGATGAATTTAGCAAGGCGAAGATCATTTTCTGCATTAGGTTTATCTTGGATTAACCAAAGAAGATCAAATCGTGATAATAAGGCCGCTGGAAGTTGAATATTTTGAGCGACTGATTTCTTCGGGTTATAACGCCCAAAGACAGGATTGGCAGCAGCCAGAATTGAAACACGTGCATTGAGAGTGGTCAAAATACCAGCCTTGGCAATAGAAATGGTTTGCTGTTCCATAACTTCATGGATCGCGGTTCTATCGGCATCCATCATTTTGTCAAACTCGTCAATACAGCAAATACCTTGATCAGCGATAACAAGAGCACCTCCTTCGAGAATCATTTCACCGGTAACCTGATCTTTCATAACAGCAGCAGTAAGACCAACACCTGATGATCCACGACCCGTAGTGTATTGACCTGATAGAATAATAATTCAATAAAAATGAGAATAAAGGTTAAATAAGATTGAGGAAAAAGAATCAATATGAAAATATGTTCACTTACTTCTCGGCGCTAATCTATCAATGAAAGCGAGTAATTGAGATTTAGCAACTCCGGGATCTCCCATTAGACAGATATTGATGGCACCACGAATTTTCATTCCATATGGACTTGTGTTAACACCACCAACGGTTATCATTGGTTTGACATCGGTTGTACGAACAACAATTCCTTTAACGGTTACAAGTTTACCAATACTTTGAGCTTTAACAGAACGTACAGAGATTGGTCTATGTTTTGATGGAGCTTTAAAATAAATCTCAAAACGTCTCATCAATTGTGGTGGATATTTATTCATGAAGATAAAAATAGGAGTAGTCTAGTGCTCACCTTTGACCCTTGGATAAAAGTACAACTTGTTTAAATGGTCACTTGGTCAATTCACTACGAGTAGTGAAGGTCAGTTGAAACTTTTTGGAAATATCAACAAGTATAAATAAGATAATTTACTTTTTTTGTCAAAGTTTTGTGAATTAACTAAAAAAATGTCTACATCATTCAGAACACCACCAAATCCATCATCATTTTATCAAATAAATCAAACTCATCACCTTCAACCTCACCTTCAACCTCACCTTCAACTTCATCTTCATCCTCATCTTCATCAACCATTTGAATATAATCTTTATCGTAACTCATCATCAATATCATCATTTTTTATCAAAGATATTTTAAATAGTAATGATATTAATAAATATCAACCCATTCCCGTCGTTGGATCAAATGATGAGAATGATTTTTATGATTCTGATGATGATACAAGTGAACGTAGTTTCAGTAAAAGTGACAATAAAATTGGATTAAAAATGCAAAAGAAACAAAGAAAAGCTCGAACCGCTTTCACCGATCATCAATTACAGGTAAGAATTAGAGTTGATCTTGATCATCTTCATTCATTCAGATTCTTTTGAATCATTAGTATTATTGAAAAAATATCTCTTTTTATTTCATGGAGATGAAATGAAAAAAATGGAAATGGAAAAGATTGTAACTTGTTTTTGTTTATTTTGTTTCTCGTTTTCTTTGTGAGTTTAGACTTTAGAGAAAAGTTTCGAGCGAGCCAAATATTTATCGGTTCAAGATCGAATAGAACTTTCAGCCAAATTGAACTTAAGTGACACCCAAGTGAAAACTTGGTACCAGAATCGTCGGACAAAATGGAAACGACAAACGGCCGTTGGTCTTGAGCTTTTAGCCGAAGCGGATAATTACGTTGCAGTCCAACGGATGATACAATCATCTCCTTACTGGATGAATCAGATCGCTAATTATGCCAATGGTTTACCTCGACCTGCACCAACATCGCCGACAATGTTACCTTTCGATATTTATTATCGTCAGGCCGCCGCAGGTCTACCAGTTCCCGTTCCTCCTCCACCTCCAGGATCTAATCCGACAAATTTGTATCCAAATTTCATCTTCTCTTCATCCTCATCCGCATCACCACCTTCATCTTCATCCTCTGGGCAACAGCAACAATCATCTTCATCACCTTCCTCATCTTCAGCAACCTCATTGGAATCAACTAATCCTCAATCATCAAAATGAGTAATTGTCTAATTAATTTACTCAACAACAAAAACTAAAAACAAAATTCACTGAAAAAAATTGAAAAACTTTGAAAAACTACAATTAATTATTATTGAATTTAACTGAACAAAATTATCACCATTTTCTTATCTATTTAATTTACAATTAAAACTAATACCAATCAACACAAACACAAACATAAACCACATTAACTCATTTAATTGATTTGAAACCAACAATCAACTATCAACTTTTAATGGTCCACTAAAATCTCACAAAATACAATTTCAACCCTGAAAAGATTTTCTCAATTCAGTTGGTCCAATTAACTTTAGATTTACAAATCAAAACTCTCAATGGAGATCAATAAGAACTTTATAATTGCTAATCGAAAGTAATTTGTATTCGCCGCCGAAATTTAAATAATCAGAGATTTTACAATCTGCGCATGCGCAGAAGAGGCAATTCTCCCGCCAAAACGAGAAGGAAGAAAGGAAATGAAACCAAAATGAAAGTTGTTTCATCTAAATGAAATTTTGATTTTCTGTCTTTGATTATCTTTTAATTTTAATCTAGTTACAATTGAATTTGATTTGTTTTTTTGTTTTGTTCATCTAACCGGAGACTAGCTTGAAACTTTGAAGATGAACGGTCCATCATATGAAGATGATTCTGGTAAGTTTACGAATGTTTTAGTTGTGAATTGTTTTCTTTTGTTTATTGTTCTTTGTTATTTATCTTTATTGATTTGGTTTTGTTTTTTTTTTCTTTTTCTCCAGAGAAAATCAAGAATTTTCTTACAACCTATTCGCACATTCTTGATGATGGGACTACTACCACTAAGTATACTGGTGATTTGGAGACATTAGCCAACAATGAAAAAACAGCCATTTGGATTGATCTTGATGATATTAACGAGTTTGATGAAGAATTGGCAAATAATATTATCAACAATGCTAAAAGATATGTTGCTCTATTTTCTGATACCATTAACACCTTGTTACCTGATTTTCGTACCAAAGATAATATTCACAAGGATATTTTGGATGTTTTTATTGAACATCGTATTCTTGCTGAACAATTGGCCAAAGGAGGTGATGAACCTATGGATGACATACAGAATAAATATCCACCACAATTGATGAGACGTTTTGAGATTTATTTTAAAGCTCCATCAAAACATAGACCAATCTCTGTACGTTCTGTTAAAGCTCAAAGTATTGGTAAACTTGTAACCGTTAAAGGAATTGTTGTTCGTACAACCGATGTCAAACCAATGATAACCGTTGCCACTTATACCTGTGATAAATGTGGTAATGAAGCTTATCAACCCATCAATAGTTATGTCTATATCCCAATGGATAGATGTCCCTCAGTTGAATGTCGTACCAACAAGTCTGGGGGTAAATTATTTTTCCAAACTCGTGCATCTCGTTTCATCAAATTCCAAGAAATCAAAGTACAAGAACATAGTGACCAAGTACCTGTTGGTAATGTGCCAAGAAGTTTAACTGTTATTGCAAGAGGAGAAAATACTAGACTTGCCTTACCTGGTGATCATATTGCTGTTACCGGGATATTTTTACCTTCATTACGTACTGGATTCAAAGCTTTAGTTGGTGGGCTGATTAGTGAAACATTTCTAGATGCTCATAGAATTGCAAAGATGAATAAAACTGAAGACGATGAGGTTTCAGATGATTGTATGAGTCGTGAAGAAGCTCGGGAATTTGCTACTGGTGAAGATTTTTACAAGAAACTGGCCGAAAGTATTGCTCCTGAAATCTATGGACATCACAATTTAAAGAAAGCACTTTTATTACTGCTCGTTGGTGGTGTTAACACAAGTCCATATGGAATGAAAATTCGTGGTGCCATCAATATCTGTCTAATGGGAGATCCCGGAGTTGCTAAATCTCAATTACTCGCTTTCATTGATAGATTAGCGCCGAGAAGTAAGTGAACATATTTTCATATTGATTCTTTTTCCTCAATCTTATTTAACCTTTATTCTTATTTTTATTGAATTATTATTCTATCAGGTCAATACACTACGGGTCGTGGATCATCAGGTGTTGGTCTTACTGCTGCTGTTATGAAAGATCAGGTTACCGGTGAAATGATTCTCGAAGGAGGTGCTCTTGTTATCGCTGATCAAGGTATTTGCTGTATTGACGAGTTTGACAAAATGATGGATGCCGATAGAACCGCGATCCATGAAGTTATGGAACAGCAAACCATTTCTATTGCCAAGGCTGGTATTTTGACCACTCTCAATGCACGTGTTTCAATTCTGGCTGCTGCCAATCCTGTCTTTGGGCGTTATAACCCGAAGAAATCAGTCGCTCAAAATATTCAACTTCCAGCGGCCTTATTATCACGATTTGATCTTCTTTGGTTAATCCAAGATAAACCTGATGCAGAAAATGATCTTCGCCTTGCTAAATTCATCACTTATGTTCACCAGAATAGCTCTCAGCCTACTCTTGATTTTGAACCTTTCGATATGAAAACCATGAGACGATTCATCGCTGCCTGTAAAAAGATCAATCCAATTATTCCCGAAGCTTTAACCGATCATATTGTCAATGCTTATATCGAAATGAGAAAAGAAGCTCGAAATGACAAAGACATGACATTCACTTCGGCTCGTAGTTTGTTGGCCATCATCCGTTTGTCAACTGCATTGGTAAGACTATTAAATTCTTAACTTCATTTATAGATTATATTCTAATTATTTCCACTAAATTAATAAATTAATCTCTTTCTCCTTTAGGCTCGATTACGTTTATCAGATACTGTTAGCAAAAGCGACATTGAAGAAGCCATTCATTTGATTATCGCTTCCAAAGAAACTCTAGCCGCTGATAAAGAAGGTAATCTTGATATCTCACGAAACGTTCATGGACCTGATAGAATTTATCGATTGATTCGTGGAATTTTCGATGAGAGACAAATAAATGAGATTCCATATCAAGATGCTATTGATAAATGTAAAAGTCGAGGTTTTTCAATCGATGAAATTGAAGAAGTTCTCGAAGAATATGAAGTTCTTAACGTTTGGCAAGCTGATCAAGATAAAACCAACATCATTCTCGTTAATTAACCTAAATCTAAACAATAACCCAAAGCCATCAATTCACATATTCAACACTTTTAAATGATCTTTCAAGAAATCAATCAAAAAATTTCAAAAAACTCATCTTATTTTGCCGAATCATCACTTACATTTAAAGAAAACAAATAAACCAAATCCTCTTTTTTAAATTCCATCAATATCTCCATGAAATGAAAAGACATTTTTTCCAATCAATTTACTCATTATAAAATTATAAATAAATCAAAAAGAATCAGAAACAAAATGATTAAACTTTTCTTCTCTCCACCAACAGATGGCAGCACATGAGAATTTCGAAAGAATTTCTCATTTGTTGCTATTCTAACATCGAGAGCTGTGAGAATAGGCTTTTTTTGGAGGTTTATTGTAACTAATTTATTGTTTTTCTTATTTCAGTTTCTTTGTTGATTTTGTTTTTTATTCGATTTGTTTCCTAATTAATTTGATGAAGTTTCAATTTGTTTGATTGGTACGTTGAAAATTTAGGGTGTTTAATGTCGGGAAAACCATTAATGGAGAAGAATAATAATCCTAACAAGGGTTTTTATACTGCGAGGGAAATGTTGGCTCACATTCACAAGCAGAAGAAAAATCCTGGTGGTTGGACTAATCATCCAATTTATAATAAGAAATCGAACAACAATTATAGTAATAACAATAAAAGGAATCGAGCTGATGAATCAGATGAAGATATTGATATTGTTGTTGTTCCTCGTGTTGTTAAACCTGATACTAATCATCAATTGGAATCTAAACCAGAGATTGAAACTCAAATAGTCAAAAAACCTGCAGTTGTGAAACCCTTTGTTCAACCATGTAAAAAGGCTTTAGGATCAAATTCTTCAAAGATTATCAGCTCTCAAAAGCCAACTAACGCATGTGATGATGAAGGTGAAGGTAAAGTGTCCAATGAGGTAATAGAGATACTTCAACATCAGAAGGCGAAAAATTTGGATGCCAAGATTGTCGACAGAATTTTGAATGAAATTATTGAGAAAACCGATGGACAAGGTGTTGATTGGAAAGATATTGCTGGACTTAAAACTGCCAAGGAGAGTATCCGAGAGATTGTAATTTTACCATTGTTAAAACCTCAACTTTTCGTTGGACTTAGAGCTCCTTCAAAAGGTATTTTATTATTTGGACCTCCAGGTACTGGAAAAACTCTGATTGGTAAATGTATTGCCAGTCAATCTCGATCAACTTTTTTCTCCATCTCTGCTTCATCTTTAACTTCCAAATGGATTGGAGAAGGTGAAAAAATGGTTCGAGCTTTATTTGCCATTGCGAGGATTAAAGCTCCATCTGTAATATTTATCGATGAAATAGATTCACTTTTAACTCAGCGAAATGACTCTGAACATGAATCTTCTCGTAGATTGAAAACCGAGTTTCTTGTTCAATTTGATGGCCTTACCACTGACCATGAGGAAAGTCTACTTGTTGTCGGTGCCACTAATCGACCTCATGAATTAGATGAAGCTGCAAGGCGGCGATTCAACAGTAGACTTTACATTCCCCTTCCCAATAAACAAGCTCGTAGAGATCTAATCAAACGATTAATATCTTCGGAAAAACATACATTAGATGAAAAAGATTTTAATGAACTTTGTCAACAGACTAAAGGTTATTCCGGTGCAGATATTTGCTGCTTATGTCGAGAAGCGGCTTATGGTCCAATTAGACGAGTGATGCCAGATTTGGACAAATATGACACGAAAGAATCACTACCTCCCATCACATATGTAGATTTCACCGCCGCTTTGGATACAGTTAAAGCAACCGTAGCTCCATCCGATTTACACAATTACATCCAATGGAATAAACAATTTGGACGTAAAAAAGATTATAGTGATGAAGATGATGAAGACTGAAAATCGACAAACAACAACATAAACATAAACATCATCTTACCAAGAAAATGAAGCAAAAGTTGATCCAAATTCTTATCAATTTTATTTTTCAATCAGTTTAAATCATTTGTATATTCCCATGGCAAAAAATAAGCAAATTATTGTATACACAATTTATATTTTTCTCGAATACATTTAACAATAAAACAAAATCAGATGCAGTAACAAATCAAATACTCAACTGCAATCAAAACAAACCAAACTAAAAGTCAACATTGAACTTATGAAATTTTCCAATTTACATGACAAAAATTGTTTAAATTGAGACAATTATCGATTTGAAAAACAGAAAAATCTATTCTACCAACTGATTCAAATGATAAAAAGAAACAATCGCAAATTAAAATGTTCGCAATTAACTGGAAATGATTAGATAAACTATTCGCCTGTAGATAAAAAGTCTCATAAGAATCACGATTATATAAAGTGAGAGAGTTTTCGATCAGCTGTGTCGTATGAAAGGAGAGATGTTTAGCAAATCCCCTTGACAAGGACGGAACACACAAGACCTTTGGGGAAGGCATTCTGCTTACTTCGCAGACCTCAAAGGCACAATTTTTTTTTTCGAGTTCGAATGCCGAAAGTTCAATTAATCAATGTTTTATTTTCTTTTGTCATATTTGAAAATATACATTCAATATATTACAAAATCAATTTGTTCTTTTTCATTTTTGTCTCCAAATTATTAAATTAGTCAATTGATGGAGAGATAATTGATCTTGGTGAATAGTTTTAGATTAACGGGCTTGGGATGGATGGAGAAAATGGCGAACATTGATTTAGAAGAATTTGTTTATGTGTTTTGTGAAGATGAATTGGATTTCCAAGAGGTTTTTGTAGGAATGGAAAGTATTTGATAAATATGAATTACTAATATCTTCCTCTTCCTCCGCCTCTTCCTCCGCCTCCTCCTCTGCCACCGAAACCTCCGCCACCTCGTCCGAAACCACCACCGCCGCCGCCTCCACGGCCAAAACCACCACCTCCTCCTCCACCTCCCCCGCGGCCTCTGAAACCACCGCCACCACCACCTCTACCGAATCCCGAACCACCACCACCACGTCCAAAACCACCTCGTCCACCTCCTCGACCAAATCCACCGCCCCCACGGCCTCCACCACCACCTCCACCAGCTGCTTTCTTTTTCTTGAAGATTTTGTTATCCGGTGGTTTAGGCAAAAATTTCTCTAATGGTAAAAGCTTATTGGGATCAATAAATACTTTAGAGTTGAGTGGAAATGAGTTGGCTTTGAATTTATCAGTAAGATTTACAGAGACAAACTATCGAAGAAGAAAAAAAGATTAGAACATTAGATTAGCCTTTGAAGGAAAGAATAAAAAACAAGAAAATAGAAAAAAACTTACATATTCTTTAATCGAACCAAAAATTTCATCAACTTTACCAATGATTTCTTTATTCTCTAAATAAATTGGTGCATTGAAATAAGGAACACCTTCTGAATTCGCTTTAACAACCAATTGTGATTGACAAGGATGAGAATAAATACCAAATTCTTGAACGGAGGCCGGTGGTTCATCGTAATTCGGTCTGTCCCGACCGAATCCACCTCTACCTCCTCTTCCTCCACCTCGACCGCCCCCACGACCCCCACCACCTCCGCCACCGCGACCAAAACCTCCACCACCTCCTCGTCCAAAGCCCATGACAATCTACCAAACTAATTGGACAATAAAACAAAACAAAAAACAAACAAAACTATAAAATTAAATCACAATTAAAAAACGTAATCAATTCAAACTAAAAATGAAAACAAATGTGACTCTCAACATGTGTTGAGAATCCATGTGATTATTGATAATCGATACTATCGATTAATCGATTGTTCTATTCACGTGTCAAGTGAATTTTAAAAATTCAATTTTAAATTTACTTTTCTGTTTTCCCAGAAAATCAAAATTTGTTTTTCGAATGTAAATTTGTTGATATAATTGCGATGTCAGATAATAAAGACGAAGGTAAATATACTGATTTACCAGGAAATGTGGATGAAATTGTTGTTAGATTTCCTCCTGAGGCGAGTGGTTATCTTCACATCGGTCATGCAAAAGCTGCTCTTCTTAATCAACGTTACCAATTGGCTAATAAAGGTAAATTGGTTTTCCGATTTGACGACACAAATCCTGAGAAAGAGAAAGAGGATTTCGAGCAAGTGATCAGGGAAGATGTTCAACTGTTGGAAATCCAGCCTGACATCCGTTCCCATACCTCGGATCATTTTGAGGTGATGATGGTTAAGTGTGAAGACCTAATCAAGAGAGGATTGGCTTTTGTGGATGACACACCGGCTGATGTGATGAAAAGTGAGAGAGAGACAAGAACCGAGTCAAAGAATCGCAACAACAGTGTAGATGTTAATCTAAACCTGTGGAACGAGATGAAGAAAGGAAGTGAAATTGGTAAAAAGTGTTGTGTCCGAGCAAAGATTGACATGAATTCCAACAACGGTTGTATGAGAGATCCAACAATCTACCGGTGCAAAGAAATGGCTCATCCCAAGACCGGTGACAAATACAAAGTTTATCCTACTTATGATTTCGCTTGTCCAATTGTGGACAGTTTAGAAGGTGTGACTCATGCACTACGAACAACTGAATATGAGGATCGAGATGAACAATTTGCTTGGTTCATTAAAGCGATGGGACTAAGAGAAGTTTATATTGTCTCATATGCGCGTTTAAATATGATGAATACTGTTTTATCCAAGAGAAAGTTAACTTGGTTTGTGGATCAAGGAATCGTTGATGGTTGGGATGACCCTCGAATGCCAACAGTTCGAGGTATCCTTCGTCATGGATTAACTGTTGAAGGATTGAAACAATTCATCATCGCCCAAGGATCTTCTCGATCAGTGGTGTTTATGGACTGGGATAAGATTTGGAGTTTCAATAGAAAGATTCTCGATGCTACTTGTATTCGTCTAATGGCCATTGAAGAAAAAGATTGTGTCACATTGAATTTAGATTGTGTCGATGGAACAATTGAAATGCCGGCTCATCCTAAGAGAACTGATTTACCAGCACTCAAAGTCTCGGTTGGACCAAAGATACTCATTGAACAAATTGATGGTCAACAAATGAAAGAAGGTGATAAAGTAACGCTGATGGGTTGGGGTAACGTAATTGTTTCCAAAATTACAAAAGATGCTACAGGAAAGGTCATTTCTATTGATGGTAAATTGGTATTGGGAGACAAAGACTTTAAGAAAACATTGAAAATCGCTTGGCTTAAAGGAGAAAGTCATGTGAGAGCAAAGTTCATTTACTATGAACATCTTTTGATAAAATCATGTTTGGGAAAAGACGATGACTTCAAAGATTTTATCAACAAAGATAATGTCAGAATTGTTGATTTCCTAGTTTCTGATACATTTTTATCCGAGCAAAAGAAAGGAAAAATATTCCAATTCTTGAAGCGAGGATATTTCATCGTTGATAGTGAATATGATGAGAAGACTATTCCTCATATTGGTAAAGCGAAACCGACTCAATTAATCTCGATTCCCGATGGAACCACCGATCTTAATATTTACCCGTTGGGTATACAAAAATGGAAGAAGAAGATCCGGGAAGAAAGTGCTAAATTAGGTCAAGATGTTCCAAAAGGAAAGAGTAAAAAAAATGAAAGTACCGAAAAAGGAGTGGAAAAGCTTCATAAGAATTACGATGAAATTGATCCATCAAGTGAACTCGGTAGTGTCCTTCAAGCGCTTGAAGTGATTGGTGAGAATATCCGTCAACTAAAATCTGCTAATTCGGATAAGAAGATTATCCAAGAAAATCTAAAAATTTTAGTATTGATGAAAGAGAGATTCAGATCAATCACGGGAGAAGATTATGTTTCTCCTCCACCACCAAAATCTGAATCGAAATCTGAAAAATCAGATAAACAAAAGATCGAAGATAATGTGAAATCGCTACTCGAATTGAAAACAGAGTCAAAACCAACACCGGCACCAACCAAGAATCAAACAAATAAAAATGAGAGTAAACAAAAGACTTTAAAAGAAAATAAAAAGTGTGCACCTAAGAAAGAAACTGTCAAAACGGAAGATAAATCAAATGTTGGTGGATCCAAGAAACAATCTCGACTTGGAATCGAAGTTGGAAAGAATGAAAATCTGGCCGATTGGTACACTGAAGTAATTACTAAATCAGAAATGATTGAATATTATGATGTCAGTGGATGTTACATTTTACGTCCTTGGGCATTTGCGATTTGGGAAATGATTCAGAAATATTTAGACGATGGAATCAAATCTCTTGGAGTGGAAAATGTTTACTTTCCAATGTTTGTCTCTCAATCGGCTTTGGAAAAGGAGAAAACTCATATTGAGGATTTTGCCCCTGAAGTGGCCTGGGTAACCAAATCAGGACAATCCGAGTTAGCCGAACCAATTGCCATCCGTCCAACATCAGAAACTGTCATGTATCCCTCGTTTGCCAAATGGTGTCAATCTCATCGTAGTTTACCAATCAAAGTGAACCAATGGTGTAATGTAGTTCGATGGGAATTCAAGAATCCAACTCCTTTCTTACGAACTCGTGAATTCTTATGGCAAGAAGGTCACACAGCTCATGCGGAAAAAGAAGACGCAGTTAAGGAAGTTCATCAAGTTCTCGATTTATATACATCAGTATATGAACATCTTCTCGCAGTTCCGGTGATTAAGGGAAAGAAAACAGAGAAGGAAAAGTTTGCTGGTGGCGATTTCACTACAACTATCGAAGGATACATTGGATCTAATGGTCGAGGAATCCAAGCAGCGACTTCTCATCATTTGGGTCAGAATTTCAGTAAAATGTTCGAAATTATATTCGAAGATCCAAATGAAGCCGGTAAAAAGCGATACGCTTATCAAAATTCATGGGGCCTTACAACTCGATCAATCGGAGTGATGATTATGGTTCATTCGGATGATAAAGGGCTCGTCTTACCTCCTAATATTGCTCCATATCAAGTAGTAATTGTGCCTTGTGGAATCACAGCGACAACAAGCGAAGAAGATAAAAGTAAACTGATGGACGAATGTAATAAATTAAACTCGTTGCTTGTTTCAGCCAAAATTAGATCAAAATGTGACCTTAACGAACATTATTCGCCTGGATGGAAATTCAATCATTGGGAATTGAAAGGAGTTCCAATTAGAATTGAATTAGGTCCCAAAGACTTGGTCAAGAAACAGTTTGTTGTCGCTCGTCGAGATACTGGTGATAAAGTTACTTTCAATTTAGACAATGCTACTAAAGAAATTAGTAAATTGCTAAATGATATGCACACAAATCTGTTCGAAGCAGCCAAGAAGAATCGAGATGATCATTTAGCTGTGGTAACTGAATGGGAATCTTTTCTCAGTAAATTAGACGAAAAGTGTTTGTTGATTGCTCCATTTTGCGGTGAACCAGTTTGCGAGGAAACAATTAAAAAGAACAGCTCTAAAGTTGATCAAAGTGATTCTAGTGGACCTTTAATGGGAGCCAAATCACTTTGTATACCTTTCGATCAGCCCAAGGAAATTGATGTCTCAATGAAATGCATTAATCCTCATTGTAAAGGAAACCACAATTTTACACTCTTTTTGGAAGATCATATTAAAAACTTATACGCAACATAATTTATAAATCAAATTTCAAAAACTATGAACCGAATTAAAAAATATATTTTCAAGTAGCTCTTATTTCAAACTCTTTATTTCGGGAACTTCATAGTAATAAATGTAATCAGCTAACAATTGAAGTTATTTGGCCTTTTAAAGTTTCCAATTTATTTCCCAGTTCAATGTTAATCGTATTCTTGATCTGTTGAAGTTCACTGAATCTCATCTTGGCTGAAGATAATCTTGAACGAATTTCCTTAATCTGAGACATGAGTTGCAATGGATTAGGTGTGTCCTATGAAAGAGAGATTAAGATAATTGTTGAAGGTAAACACTTGAACACAAAAAGTGAAGGCGAAGTGCGAAAACAACCACAAAGAACCGATGGATGATTGAATATTGGAACCAAATTGAGATGAATTATTTACCTGAATAGTTGATTCATCCAATGTATTAGTCGTTGTCAAGGCAGTTGATTCTAATTGGGTTATTATGCTTTCCAATTTACAGTCACAATTGTTTAGCTATTTAATTAAAACAAAACAAATGAACAAACGATTGATAAACGAGCGACTGAATGAATTGAGAAATTGAATGAATTATCTTACCACTGCTTGTAATGTTTCCGCACTTTTTGCCATTATGAGAAAACCAATTAAACAAATTGCTTGAAAAATGAGTGAACACAATTGACAACAATTTAAAAAGATCAATGAAAACATGCAAACCCAATGTTCCCGCCCCAACAATCAGCTGATTGCGAAGGGAAATTCACATTTGTCAAAACCCTGCCATCTATTGGACTTTCGTTTCCATCTTAATCTCTTTCGAGATTCTCTAGTGTTGATTACGTCCCTATCCTTTGTGCTACCGATTGAATGATTTAGAGAGGACTTCGAACTGTTCAATCTTAAATTCGAGGTGAAACTTAAAGTCAGATTGTACTAGAAACATGTTCAAATTGATTATTTGGAGAAAGTAAAAGTTTTAAAGTTGAATCGACATAAACGACACAGTATAATTTAGAGAGCTGCATCTTTTAAAGGTTTAAATTTGTCTTCGAAATACATAAAATGACCTCAATGACCTTGACCTTAGATATAAACAAAACCCTAAGGTATAGTCTCGGTGGTTCGAGAGTTATTCAAAGAAACAAAACTGTTTAATCCAAGTAAACGCCATCAAAATTCATCAATTGTTGGAAGCTCAATTTAAACTCGAGTATATTGTTATTATTAATCATCTGAATATGATAACAATATACTTTATCTTTAATTAGATGTCTCATAATTATTTTCCTAAAGAAAACAAAACGAGAACCTTGAAAAGAATCAAATAATTTTAATCATTGTAACTCAGCCAAATAAACTTCGAAGAAACAATTCGATGAATATTGAGAATAAAAATCGCAATTAAATTTCGAATCGAACCCTAAAGAGCTAAGAATTGATATATTAGAATAAGATTCTATCATATTGAGCATTTTTTGAAATGATAATCACCCTGAAACTCAATCAATATCATTATATTACCAATGGAAGAAAATCTTATCTCATAATGAGTTAATAGAAAGTGTAAATTATGCTAAGTTAATATGAAGAAGAAAATATTAAACGTAATAGATAAACAATTAAAATTAAGTGGAAAGATGATATAAGAAATTATGAGATGATCATGTGTGTTTGTTGACAATCTAATTTGATTATAATAATTAAACTGAATGATATGTTAATTTGTTCAACTACGGATTCAACGAATTGAAAGTTTTGGCTACAATTCAAAGGGGATTAGAAACTAACAAAAGATGAGGATGAAAATGGTTAAGAGGAAACGGATAAAAAGATGAATTTAAATATATATTTTTACCAACGAGAAGGTTTAAAAATAACTTGATTCTTTACTTTTTTCTAGATTGTTAATGATCAAACTCTGTTGATTTTAATCGTTACGATACTTGTTTCATTTCAATATCATAAAGTGTTTCCATATAATCGTAACTGTGATTACAATTGATTTCCATGTGAATTTGAGTTCTGTGTTTTTCGTCATTTCTGTTTTGTGTCCTCATTTTGTGATCTTATTTTTGTGCGATTTTTTTCAAAATTTAGTAATAACATGGGTGAAGATTTGGAAATTAGTGATGTTGATGTGAGACAACGAAAATCGGGTAAAAATAAGAATCTGAGTGATGATATTTTAACGATCGGTGGTGGTGGTGGTGGACATGGGTCAAGCAAGAGAAGAAGAAGAGGTCGTGGTGGTGGTGATAGGGCTGAAGGAATTAGAGTTATCCCTGAAGAGGAAATTATCGTTGAACCAAAGAAAGGAAAATTGTCATCAGTAAGAAGCCTGAAAGTGATGATGATGAGGATGATGGTGGAGATGAAGCTGATGATGCTTATGATTCAAGTTTAGAAGATGAAGACTCTTCTGGTAGTTGGTTATTCAAATTGATAATAATTGCAATCGTTGTGTCTCTCGGATTTTCACTCATTTGGCTAAATGATGGATCGTCTTCAAATGATTTGGATACAGTTGATTCGGATGTTAGACCTTTGAACGATATCGAAGATGGTTATATACCAGAAAGTATTGATAAAGATGAAGATACAGATCGAGGTGATATTGAAGAGAGTAATAGTTATCAAGAATATCAAGATATCAAGAGTATCAACAATGGAACCAGGGATATGATGATTCAAGTTCAGATAGAGGAGAGATAATTGCTGAAGTTTCTGAGAATATTGAAGCTCAATCAAGTGAGATTCAAGACGAACCTGAGGTTTATCAGGATTCTCAGAATCAAGGTTATTTCGCCAATGAGCAAGTGAATATTGAACAAGAACCATTAGAGTCTAGATCTTGGACGAATGATGAGAATAATTATCAATCAGAAAATCAACCAGAAGATTCAATCACTTCGTTCCAAGAGCCCGAATGGGTTGATAGTTCTAATCAACAATCGGATCATGATTACAGTCAACAGACATGGCAGAATGAAGAACAGTCTGAACAACAAAATCAACATGTAGAAGAGCCGATAATTGAACAACAATTACCACAACCAGAACAAGTTGAACCTTTCGAATCGCATCACATTGATGAGCCATATGAACTTTCAAATGATGAACAATTAGCTCAATCATCTTTTGAAACGAATCCAGAAATTGTTGAAACAAACGAAAATGAACAAGTAAACGAAGGAATATACACTGAATGCCCTGAGGGCAGTTACTGGGATGGATTGTCATGTGTAAATCCAGAATCATTTGTTCAAATGGACGATTTTAATAACGATCATGAAAAGAAACCAGAAACCGTTGAAGGAAACATCTTCTAACCAGAACATGAGAATGAACAAACGAAGATAAAAAGGATATACAATTACAATTGATCTAAATTGGCTCATTGGACATTTTTAATAATCAACAATTTATCTATGTAAATAATAATTAAATGAAAACCAAAAAATGAAGACAAATCAAACTCAAACTTTGAACGCGAAACTTTATAACCATTGAAGTGATTCAACAACCAGGGAACTTGAAATATCAATTTAATGACAGAAAATACAGCCAAGACATAGGGTATGAATGTATTTTTACGTGACCTGAATGATTGAATTGAATTACAAGCCATCTTACTTGAGATTTTGGTAAGATCTTAGTTAATGGTTGAGGTGTGGCCAATGGTTAGCACACTAATCTTATCAATTAATCGATAATTCACTCATATAAGAAACAACCCGGATAGAAAGAAGGATATCTTGTAGTACAATCTGAGTAATTAGAACCAAAATTTTTCGTAAATACGTTTTCCGATAGACAAATTCTTCTATGTAACTACTTGACCTTTCCATGTGCACTTTTCGGTAAGCAGGCCTTAAGTGAGCGCCAGTTTTCTCTATTTTTGTGTGTTGACGGTTGGATCATTTGGATCAACAAAACTTTTCGAGTGATTAACTTGGTTCACTACATAACCACAATTATTGAGACACAAATAAGATCTCCACTTGTCCGTCAATAGACGAGTTTTTGGTGAGCACGTTATTAGCTCCAATTGTTTCAGATCCTCGGTTGGCTGCCAGCTCAGCGAAACAAGATTGCTTCACGATCAATGCCCAATAACCCACGACTTTTTCTCTTTTGAAACGTTAAACGACCACGATGACTTTTCTGTGAAAACCTTAGTTTCGTCCACCTCGACCTCATGACCATCGCCACCGATTTTTACCTTGTTGTCAGTACATTAATACATATCTCTTTAACTCGCTGAATTAAGCACAGTATTTTATTTAGCCCAAGGGCTTTAGCGGTAAAATTTACTGAGCATTTGGTTGTCCAAAAATATCAACCTCAACGACATCAACACATCCAACCGGCTACTTGAAAACCATGTATATTGGGCTAAGTTATACTGAGTTGCACTTGCAGTGGTATCGGTATTTCAATTTGAGTGAATCTCTTTTTCAATAGTCATTACACCGTCACAATTAGAGTCGACACATCGATGGGCTTTAGGGCATTGATCAATTTAACATGTTTATAAACTCAAACCCAGGTAATATTTCACGGTCACATGTAATCATTGAATCAAAATTAACTAAAGTTAATTTAGAAAAATCAAACTCATGGAAACTCATTTTAACAAAAAAATAGTCTTCATCATAAGGTCTCATGTTAATTAATTAATTGAATCGATTAGTTGATAAGATTAGTGGGAAAACTAACCATTGGCCACACCTCCAACCATTAACTAAGATCTAAACTGCTTTTTAAGCCGGTTGGCAATCAACTCTATACATGGAATATTATTTTCAAGTTTATTACAATTGTAATCATCAAAAGTTTCCTTTGATTTTGTGAGTTTATATATTGAATTGATATTGCTTTAATTAATCAATTTAATGTGATTAAAAATATATAATTAAACAGTTAAGTTCTTGTGGTCAACAATACATTTTGGTGGCGCTGTGTTTTGATCGTTTTATACTAAAACGGTGTGCTTTTTTCGTATTGTTTTAATCCCTTTCACCATTTCTATCCCCTTTTTTCCTTTCTATTCTTTGATTATATTATTCAAATTTCCTAAGATTATCATCAATTAAAAATAATAAACTTGACTACAACTCCATCAATTTGGATTGTTCGAATGGTCTTAGATGGTTACCACCATATAAAAGTAAGATGTAAACATTTTTCAATGAAATCTGTTATTTCAATTTGCTAATTAAGCATCAACTCTCATGTAAACATGCTATATAACAGATAACTAATACTTTATATTCATTTGAGTTTATTACAATTGTAATCATCAAAAGTTTCCCATTGATTTTGTGAGTTTTATACAGGGCGATTCAGCTAATTTGTTGGTTTTCTTTTCACGATTACTCAAAAGCACTTGACCGATAGGATCCGTATTTCGTCTATAGAAGTTTGGCCGATACTCAATTGTCATATTTCAAGGTCAAGGTCAAAAGTTATTCATGAAAGACTGCACTTGAAGGTGATTAAAAGAACTTTTTGAACAAAAGAACAAATCAGCTGAATTGCCCTGTATTTTAAATTGGAAAATGAACAGCGTGATCGACATCTTGCGCCGATCTGATTGGTTCAGTGTTCATGTCTACAACTTGCAATGAGACATCGCACTTTGTTTATTACCTTTAAGAAACGATATTAGGTCAATGGAAGAAAACTACAATATGATGAAATCGTCGAGGATAAATCGGCAATCACTTAAAATCATTAGTGTGGATAAGACAACTGATAAATTAACACAAGTGATTTTTCAAACTTCCATGGTTTTATTGCTTACCATAACTGGCTAATGGTAATGAAAGATCAAAAATTTATGAGATATCAAACGTTATAGATCTAGAACAATGCCCTTTCTGCTGTTCTTACAATGGTAGTATTAATTGCCACTGTGAAAGAAGAGAATCTGCTCCAACTGTGGAGAAGAAAGTCATTCAATTCATTACTTGCCAAACTCATGGTGAAACAAACAGAACTGACCAAAGCTGAATCACTTGTGACCAAAGCAGGACGGTAAAAGAAAAATTTCGATCAATTCTTTTCGCAATCCGTACATTGTGAATAAATGGAAGACTATTGGCCAATGTCTCAAAATCAATTACACACTGAAAAAACAGGCACCTTAACACAGTCCGATAAGATTGTTATCATTAGAATCACTAGTAACCATTCGAAGTTGTTGACAACTCATGATGGAAGATTTCAAATTTCAATTCAAGTCTATTTGTGACTCGATGTTAATGAATTCATTAAATTTAATAACAATTAACTTTACTGTCCGTATCAATTCTATCTTTCACATCAACAATTAACTGTTAGTTTAGTTACAACATGTGAATTTAAGTGAATAATGGCGATTATTACAGACAACAATATTAGTCAACAGGAGATTGGGAAATTGGGGATAAGGAAAAGTGAAAACTATGCTGATTTCATTCAATTAAGCAAATGGCCTAATAATGATCCATAATAAATATATCTATGGCCATTAAGCATATTGCCTTACAACTTGAATTTGTAATGAATATCATCAATAAGTTTTCTGTTTAACCACAATCAGGTTATATGCATGGGTTTTAGGTTGCTTATTTACTTGGTATGACAAGTAACATAATAGTATTGAGCAGCTAGTGCATATGATCACAGACTGATGAAACGTGCATTCAGATAATTTTTTAGCATGTTGGGTTCAGTATAATATAGATTTTGGCATTTCTCATTCCAATATGAGATTCATGGCCAAAAGTAAATTAAATTTTATCAAATTCATTTCTTATCATACAGTAAACATGAAGTATGTTGTTGACTTGTTCAGTATAACAAAATTGATACCTAAATGATATTAATCAGTGCAAATTGATTGATTACAATTTATATTGTTTTTAATACAATTGATAATCTATATCTATTATTTAGTTTTTTTGTATTAACATCATTAACTAGACTAATAGATAAAATATGGGATGATTCTCAAAACTCTTATCATCTTTTCATCCAACGATATTTCGATTTTCTGCATATTTAAGCGAGTTCGCTCCAATCATTCTACCATTGATTGTTTTGATTTTCATTTAGTGAAGAAAATATTATTTCTTATTTGTTTCTTTTGAAGACGTTACAATGACTCAATCAGTTCCAACAGACAAAGAGATGGCAAATATGATGTCAACAATTTCATGTCTATTGACAATTTACGTGTACCAGGTCCAATTGAGTATGATATTTCAACGATTTCTCCTGATGATGTTATCCAAGGTTTAAAAATAAAAATCGATGAAGGTTCCAGTTCCTATTCGCGTTATTATCAACGAATTCGTTCTTCTCTAGACGAATTCTGTGCAGTTGATCCAATGGTTAAAGATGATTTAGAAACTGATTTCAGATTCCTCATCATGAAAAGTCACCCGTATCAATTGGAGTTCATTGATAAAGATATTCTTGACAAGGCAAAGCGGATGGAAAATATACATCCTCTCGTGCTAGATGGAAAATTATCCGAACTACAGGAACAGCGTTTACATGCAATGAAAGAGTGCGGACTTACGTCTCTAACAAAATAAGCTGCTGACCTGCTCACTGCGATTGATACGCAGAATGAAAAAGATGCGAGTGATGCTAAACGTTTGTTTGGAAGGCCAATTATACGAAACGCTCTCAAAACTACAAGAGACGTATCAAGGTGCTTCATGAATCAGCGTGGGAACTTCAGTCAATTGCGATGGCAAAGAAAGAACGTATACTGAAAATCGACATTGAAATCAAGAAACATGAATACGCTTGTTGTCCTATGTGCTGCCATTACTATTTTAAAACTGATCTATTGTATTCTAATTGTGGTCACAGGATTTGTTATTCATGCGAGTATATCACAAACTGTTAACTGCTGTTGTGTTGTTTGCAAACAAACACTTACAGGATATTACAGACTCGTTATTAATGATCAAACTGGTCGTGAACTGTTAATGTTAACCACAAAACAAGTAACTCTCAATATTGGTTTACCAATCGTGCAAATCAAAAACATTAATAATAATAAATGTACTAAACGTTAAGATATTGAATAAAATTATCAAGAAATGGCTTGAGTTGAACAACTATCGTAAAACCTATCGTAACATTTTTAGCTCAGCCATTGAACAGTAAAGTTTCAAGCTTATGTTGTTATGAGAATTTTATAGTAAAATTATGAATTTTATTTCCATTTATTTTGATCATACATAAAATAATGAATATTGTTGTGATTCTTGGCTTTCACTGATCGAGTTCTCGGTCTTCAATAGCATGCTGTCACTCTTGAGTCTTG